ATAATAATAATAATAATAATAATAATAATAATAATAATAATAATAATAATAATAATAATAATAATAATAATAATAATAATAATAGTGCTTAATATATATAAGCACTATTGTCTTATATATATATTCTCCTACATGGCAGTGCGTAGAGGTTGCCGGGGCACATGCACGCGAAGTACCGGCATGCGTAACACAGTAAAGCCTGCGTTAATTAATTGAACATGGGAGGAGGAAGCAGCAGCAGCGTGATTTTTGTTACAAAGTTTGTTTTTGTAGCGCGAATGCAAGTGCTTCGATTTGTTTGGTGATCTCCACGAAAAGTTTATACTCCTGATGTACAGGCGCGATATCTGCCTTTAACCTTAAAGGCCTGCCATGTTCTTGTTTAAACTGAAGGTGATAAGCTGCTAGTTTATCTCCTAATGATCTTCTCTCCCGCTGCAGCTGATGCAGCTGTAGAGCCATTTCCTCTCTCCTCTTCTGTTGCTGCTGCTGTCGATCATAGGCAGAGGGCCTAGCACTAACGGGCTTCTGCTGCTGCTTCTCCTTGCTTGCTTTAGCAGGGGATCTGGGCCCCCCCCCGGAGGGCCTCCCACGGTGTGCTGTTGCCTTTGGGCTGAGGACCTCAGGTACGCGCAGGTTATGGGGTGCCTTCTGCCGCTTAGTTGGTGCAGGGGAAGGTGCTGCCGTGGCTGCTCCTGCTGCTACTGCAGAGGAAGAGCTACAGTCGGCGGTGCTGCTACGCCGTGAGTTGCTTGTTGCAACATTCGAAACTGCTGGCAGCGATGTTGTTGCTGCTGTTGCGCTGCCTTGTCCTTCGTCCGCAGAACCACCAACACCAACAGCAGCAGCAGCAGAAACTAAGGGGCTGTTTCCTTCTGCTGCTGCCAGATGTTGCTCTAGTCGCTGTTTAATCCGTTGGTAATGCATGTACACCGGCCTAAGTGGTTCCTTATCTTGTTTTAAGGGCTGACGACCAAAGTGAGCAGCAAAGGAAATATTATAGGATCTTAATTCTTGTTTAAGTTGCTTCTTTGCTTGCTGCAGTTCCTCGTGAGTATTAGAAGCAGCAGCAGAAGAAACAGAAGCAGAAACATCCCCGGTGTTGCTGCTGCTGCTGCTGCGTGTTATACTTTCTTTTCGCGCCTTCGCGCGCATTGCCTCCAAACGTTGCTGACAGCCACGCAGCCACTCAGCAGCAAACGCACGCACCGCTGCCTCGGCCCCATCGCCGCTGCTGCTGCTGCTGCTGCAGCGCGCAGCAGCAAGAGCAGCAGCAGCAGCAGCGTCTTCGGCTGCCTCGATGTCACTTGGGCTCTCCTGCAGACAGCACACAATATAACATGCACGTTTACATATACTGTACGTTATATAAGATAAATGTATGCATGTAGTAAATATAGACACATACCTGCAAGCTTTTAGTGTCTTGCTGCTGCTTTAGCTGAAGTTGTGGGCAGCTCTTAGCGCTGCTGAGGGTAACTCTGCAGCAGCTGCTGCTGTTGCTGCTGCTGCTGTTCTCAGCTACTCCTGCTGAGGATACTCTAGAAGCAGCAGCAGCAGCCGTCTTAGTAGGAAACCCTCCCCCTCCAGTCTTGCTTCTGCTGTTGTTGCTGCTGCTGCGTACTCCAGCGCCAGTCTCCCCCCTGCGCTTCCCCACTGCCTGCCGCTTCTGTGGGGGCCCCTCACCCCGTGGGACGGGGCCCCCAATAACCTGCAGCGGGGGTCCCGTTGCTGGAGACACTGCAGCTGCCGCCACCAGAGATGTGCCTCGGGGGGCCCCTTGCTGCTCAGGCCTTCTCTTTATGCCCTTTTCCTTGGTAACTTTTGCTGCCGTGGCCGCTGCTGCAGCCTTTTGCTGCTGCACCACTTGTGACAGCCTCGGCCGCTGCTGCTGCTGCTGGCCCCGCTGCTGCTGCTGCTGGCCCCGCTGCTGCTGCTGCTGGCCCCGCTGCTTCTGCACCTCTGCGCTCACGGCCCCAGAAACTGCAGCAGACGTTGCATCGGCGAGTAGAGGCCCTGCATTATCAGGAAACATTGCTGCTGCATTCATATCGCTGTGTGCAACAAACTGGGGCCCCTCTGGGGGTTCTCCTTCTGCTGTTGCCTGCATACCTTCTTCTTCTCTCTGCTCGGGACCCCCAAAGGAGAGGGGCCCTCTACACGATAATGTTGGAGAGGTAAAGAAAGCAGCGTGTCTCTCACTAGCAGCGTAGCAGTAGCTCATGTTACTGCTCTGCTGCAGTGAACGCCTACCCGCTGGGGGCCCATCGGGGGCCCTAGGGGACTCGGAGACCCCAGGGGCCCCTTCCTGCTGGATAGAAGCACCGCTGTGGACGCCATTAATGCGGGAATTTAAGCTGCTGCAAGAGTAGGGATTGATGAGGAGGGCAACGCTATCTGTATGGGGTGAAGTGCAACTCTTAGGGGCCTCTGCTGCTTCCTCCCTTAGGAGCTGGGGGGGTATAGGGGGAGCCTGTGACCCATCTAGCTGCTGAAGCAGCAACAACTGCTGTAGGAAGACAATTCCTCCTTCTCTTCCTTCTTCACTACTTACAAGTTGGGGTGAAGACGGAGGGCAACACCAGCGGCTTACTGCCTCCTTGAGGCCGAGCGCCACCTGCAGCTGCTCAACCATGACGCTGGAGCTGAAGAGAAGGAAATAAAGACTTAACGGAGAAGAGAAGAAGCGTTTTGACGAGAAACAAATAACAATGGATCTTTTTATTACATGTTGTGCTGCTGCTGCTGCTGTCAAAACCACGGGCGGTGCTGCGGCGGCCGCGCCGCAGCACCGCCGACGGCGTACAGATGGTCAGGCGGAGGGGGAGAAGAAGTTAGAGAAAAATAAATTAGGCAATGATTCTTTTAATTTACGTCTTTTGGATCTCAACAACGGGCTGATGTGCAGCATTAAAATGTAGCTGTTGCTACAGCAGCAGCAGCAGCAGTGGTTGGGGCTGGTTGTGGAAGTCAGATAACACGCTGCTACTGCGCTGCGCCTTCATTAGGCACTCAAGAGACGCCTTCCTCCCTTTTTCTTTGTTTTAAATTCCTTTAATTGGTTTATTTTTGCTGTTGCATCTTATTAGAGTAGTTTTGCTGCTTGATCGTGGTGTATTTACTCGCAGACATGAATATCAATCGCTGGGGTCACACACCAGCTGACGTTTTCGGCCTGTGTTTTGAGCTTGTTTGCCGCTATTTTGGTAAAACAATTTAAATATTCAATTAAATATGCCTGAGGAATACTTGGGTAATTGAACACCCATATTTATGTGAATTTATTTGCCCGTTTGGCCAACTACGCATATCCATGGGGACTTGCCGTTACATACATTTAAGCAGGCTTTCTTATTAATTACACTTTTCTCCTTTTAACACTCAAATATGTCTATCTGTGTATTCAAGGAGTTCTATCTAGTCATTTGAGTACCTGCATTCGGAGAGTTCTATCTGGTCATTTGATGTAGGGTTTAGGGTTTAGGGTTTATTGCTGTGCTATCACATAAAAGAACACAACGCACAACACAATATAAACCCCTACAAACAATCCACAAGCCTTATACAGAACAGATAAATTGTTCTGTCCTTTGCGTTACAAAAAAAGATAATAAAATAAACTACATGTATAAGCTGCTATTCTTGTACATTGTTTAACTTAGAAGACTTACTTAAAAGGTGTGTGTTAGACGTGTCTGTACACCCCAACATTTAAGGAAATATCTTCCCTCCTGGAGGTATTCTCTTTTATGCCATTTAATTAATTCTGCATGCATGCAGAAGAGGCAATTTCTTGCTGCTTCTTTTCAAGTTGTCTGTCCTGTGCATATTGTACACGGTTAGTAAACCTTTACCCTAAACCCTAGGGTTTAAGGTTTAAACCCTAAACCCCAAACCCCAAAAGAGAGAATCGATTCAAAGGCTTTTTATTTGCCTACTTGATAGCGGCTGTTGTGCATGCACATTGCAGCCGTTCCCTTGCTTTCTATCTATATATATCCTTCCTTCGTGTCATCTCTTTCTTCCCTCCTGTTGTCTCTTACTTTTATATGAACATTAAATCTTTTCTAAGGAAAAGTATTCCATTTTTTCCCTGTTTTTTGCCCTTCTGCATGGGCTAGCAAAGTTTATTCCCCTAAGGACCCCTGATATCCGTTTTTTTATATTTATATTAATATATTAGACATAATAATATTATTTATTAATACTATTATTATTATGCAGTATAATACCTTATATATTATATACTACCATATCTATGCCACAGAATAGGTTATTACTATACAAATATTGTATCTCCATATTGTATCTCCTTTTTGGCCTCTTGATGAATAAAAAGGAAAAAAAAGAAATAATAATAAGATAATGAAGAAGTAATAATACAATATAGATGAAGTATACAATACATCAAAAATAAAGGCAATGCATGCAATGGGGGAGGTGATGCATGCAGCCTTCTCGTTAGGGTCACTTGCGTATTGAATTCCCTCTTTCCTTTTGTTTTTGTTTCTATTGTTCTTTTTGTTTTTGTTTCTATTTCTTATTATTAAAATTGTATTTTCCTTCTGATTTCGTTGGTTTTCGTTGCTGTTGTTGCTGTTGTCGTTGCTGTCGGTGCTGCTGCCTCGCTTGCTGTCGCTGCCGCTCTTGCTGCCTATCTTGGTGTCGCTGCAGCGGCAGCAGCTGCTGGTCCTGCTACCCCTCTTGCTGCCACTTCGGTTGTTCTTGGTGCGGTTTTCTTTTTCTTGCCCTCTTTTGTACTTACCATCCTCTTATCTAGCTAGACAGCTTGCTCACCAGCCAGCTGCTGCAACAACAAAGAAGCCCCTACAAACCCTCAGGTATAAACAGTTTTGCCGCTGTTGGGTCTTACCTCGTCGCGTACATGCACGCATGATATAGCCGATCAAAAGGAACGCCAGGATTGTTACGGCTAGCTAGCTAGGCAAGTAACTAGTGGCAGCTAGCTACCTGCAGCTAGCTAGCTGCTCAGACACTAGCTACCTAGAGGGTAGGTGGCTGCCTAGGTAACTGGGTCGGTGTCTAGCTGGCTAGCTGGATATATATGTATATTTGTTTACTTATTAATTAATTTGTTAATTTATTAATTAAATATTCATTATACTATCAGATAATTATTTACATCAAGGTACGAAGAAGAGTGGGCTTAAGCAAACGGCAGCCTCAAGCCAGAAATTAGCAGCACACAGCAGCAGCAAAACATTGAAACAAGCAGCAGCAGCAAAATAGAATATGCGGCAGCAGCAAAAACATCCCTTCCTTATACAAATGTGCGTCTATACGTAATACAATGTAATACCTGTATGTATATAATGCGTACAATATAGAGATTAGATAGCTGTGTTGCTTTGTGTTAGAGGTGTGCCTATAAGGAGGAAGGAAGGAGGATTATATAGCAGCAGCAGCCGCAGCCGCAGCGCCAAAGGAACGTGTCTTTACAGCTCGCTGTGCCTGCAGGAATGCGCGCTTGCTCCGTCACAAGCATGTGTGCGGGGCAGTTTCCTGCTTGCTGCAGAAGCTTCAGTAAGCAGCTAACAGCAACAACAAGCATACAACAGTAGCAGCAAGCAGGCAGCAGCTGTGCGTCTGCTGCTGTTGCTGCTGCAGCGCAGCAGAGTCAACAGCAGCTGTGTAGACACATAGAGGGGATCGATTTGCCCCTTCTATGTTAATTACCTGCTTACATAAAATTATAATTGACTTAAAAACATTTATTTAACACAATTTAATGGACAAAGACAATTTGAGCTCGTCACACAGAAGTAGATCTAGGGTTATAGGGTTTACGGTTTAAAGTGTCCGCATAGGGTGGCTGGATATAACGACGGGGGGTTTAATGGCTATTTATATTATCCCTTTTCCTGCACTTGGGGTATTAAAGTGCCTTTCTAATGAATAAAAGAGAGAAGTAGACAGAAAAAGGAGAAAAACATCATAGATAGGTGGCGCTTCCTGCTCGTTTAGCCACAATGGGGCTTTTAACACTGCTCGTGGCACTCGGGTACCTACGCCTTCTTTTCCCATTAAACAATTTGATTTTTTAAATTGTAAAAGCATCAGTTTCTGTTTTATTTATTCTTTTTACTACACTAAAGAAGAAGATCGATCAGTAGGCTGCAGCTAGGGAGGAGCGGCTTGGGAGCGTCGAGCTGCTGTCGCTCTCTCCTGCGCGGGTTTCGGGTTAACGGTTTACGGTTTAGAGTTTAGGCTTTGGGGTTTAGAGTTAGCGGATTTGTTTTTTTAACTTTTTATCATCACTGTCGGAGTTTTATGGCAATATACAGTAAAATGCGTGCCGCTACAGCAGCCTAAAGGAGTTGCTGCTGCTGCTGCACGCCTTCTTTCCTCTGCTTTCTTGTTTATTCCCCTCCGATCTTTACTTATTTCATATTATCCGGCTGAACCCTAAACCATATTTTCTCATTAAGAGTTTCTAGGGAAGGCGCGAAACCCTTGCAGGCAATAGCAGCAGCAGCAGCAGCAGCAGCTGCAGCAGCTTTGCCTAGCCGCCTTGTCCTCTTGCGCACCAGAGGCAGGAGGAGGACAAGCAGCAGAAGCAGCAGCAGAAGCAGCAGAAGCAGCCGAAACAGCAGCAAACATATATCATCACAGACGCTGCAGACAAAAACAGCGGGCTGTTAACCCCTGTGGGGTTGCGTAAAGCAGGCACTGCTGCTGCTACTGCTGCAGCTGCAGCAGCTTCGAGCACTTGCCGTTTTTCCTGCTTCACCAGCAGCAGCAGCTGCTGCTGTTGCTGCAGCAACAGCAGCATCACTTTGAGCTTTTTTTTGTCTTTTCATAAGACCTCCACACAGCACCCGCAGAGGGTTGCTAGTGTGGTGTTCTTGGGGATCTCCGTTCCTCGTGCTGCTGAAGCTGCTGCAGGTGTAGCTGCCTTTGCGGCAGCCGTGCATGCTCGTTCTGCGCTTGGCGCTGAAGTGTAACCCATTGTCAACAGCAACTACAGCAACAACAACAGCAAAAGCAGCAGCAGCATTAGCTTGTTTATCTTGTCCGCTAATCGAACAATGAGGAGGGGGAGAGGAAGCAGCATACAAAAGAGTCCCTTGCTGCATCTATCGTAGCTACCTGTACTTGTGCTGCTAACAGCAGTAATATCTTTTGCTGCAGCTGCTGCAGCTGCAGCTGCTGTTGCTGTTGTTTTGCCAGTATCACATTTGCAACAGGTAGACTGTGGGGTCATGCCAATGGAGGGAGCAGGAGCAAAAAGAGGAGGCAGCATACTGCTGCCACGTGGGCGGTTGCGTTGGTTGAGCTGGATGCTGCTGCTGCTATTGCTGCTGCTGTGCGACCGCAGCTACAGCAGCAGCAGCAGCAGCAGCAGCAGCAGCAGTCGTGGCCTGACGCGGAGTGGGAGTTCTGTACATGGGGATCTTGGTGCAGAGCAGCAACTTGTGGAGGCAGAGCCAGCAACAAACGATGCTTCCTCCACAACAGCAACAGCAGCAGCAGCAGCAGCAGCAACAGCAGCAGCAGTTGCTGTACCTGCAGCAGCAGATCATGTGCTAGCGTTGCCACGGCGAATGAAGATAAGACGGAAACTGTCTCTAAATGGTTCGCTGCAGCTGCTGCTGCTGGTGCTGCTGGCAAGTTTTTCTATGCGCTTCTTTCGGGTGTATAAGCGGCTAGAAGCAGAGAAACGTGAGGCCGCTGCAGCAGCGTTTGCAGAGGAACTTAGAGAGAGGGAAAAAGCAGCACGAGCTGCTGCAGAACAAGAGGAGCAGCTGAAGGAGCAACTGCAGCAGCAGCTGCAGCAGGAGCTGCAGCACCAGCTGCTGCAGCGCAGCAAAAAGAGACTGCAGGACGCAAGACAGGCACGCGATCGGGTGTATGCGGAGCTCATTGTGCATGCAGATACAGCACAAGAGAGTGCAGCAGATACTGTACTGCGTATGGATGAGTATAGGAAAACAGCTGCTATGTGGGATGATTACGGGAGAGGGTTTGCTGATGCTGCTGCTGCAACTGCTGCAGCTGTTGCTGCTGGGGATGCAAAGCCACCCGAGGGTCTGCGGCATTCTGCTGTAGCACTTCTGCAAGAGCTGCGGAACCAAGTTGATGAGGTGCGACAGGAGGTGCAGCAGCTAGAGCAGCAGCAGAAGGAGGAGAAGGAACAGCTGCGGCGGCAGCAAGGGTTGCTGCTTCTTGCAGGAGAAGCAGAAGGAGAGCAGCCTTCAGCAGCGCAGCGGGAGATGGTGCTCTTGGAGGCGCGTGCTGCTGCGGGTCCAGCAGCACTGGCACTTCGAGAGAGAGAGACAAAGAAGGAGCATCTGCTGCAGCAGCAGCAGATGCAGCAGGAGCAGCAGATGCTGCAGCAGCAGGTAGATCGTCTTAAGGAGGAGAAAAGTAAATTAGAGAAGGAGAGGAAGTTGCTTGCAGAGAGGGAGGCATTGCTTGATTCAGCAACAGCAGATCTTGCTGCTGCTGCTTCTCGTGTGCAGCAGATGTCTGATGTTGTTGCGAAGCGGGAAGCAGCAAGAGCAGCAGCAGAAGCAGCAGTTGCAGCAGCAGTAGCTGCAGCAGCTGGTACTGCAGATAGTGGTAGTACTGCTCTGCTGCCTGTGGAGCAGCACCTGCTGGAGGCTCGTCAGGCGGTGCAGCGGCTAGAATTAGAGTTTGCTGCTGCTGCAGCAGAAGCAGCAGATGTAAAAATGGAGACTCACCGTATTGACTTAGCAAAGGCAATGCTTAAATATATTAGGGGTAAAGCTTGGCTAGATTCTGCTACTACTACTGCTGCACCTGCTGCACCTGCTGCTGATGATGCTGGTGATGGTGCTGCTGCAGCTCCTGATGCAGCTGGTTCTACTTTATCTACTGCAGCTGATGCTCCCGCTACTGCAGAAAAAGAAACTGCAGCAGGTGCAGCAGATGATATGTTCGATGGTTATGTAGAACCACTAGAGTTGGAGCGTCGTCATGCAGGAGTGGTGCATGCAGATCGTTTGCTGCAGGATGTGGCGCATAAACGCCTGCGCTTAAAAGAAAATTTGCAGAGAATAAAAGGATTAAAATTAGCAGCAGAGAAAGATGTTGAATACTTTATGAAGGAGTTGGACAGATACCGCAAGATGCTAGAGGAAAAACTATCACCAGGAACAATCGCAGCAGCAGCAGAAGAAAAGGAAGATGCAGAAGGAACAACAGAAAAGGGAACAACAACAGCAGAAACAGGAGCAACAGAAGAAGAAAGAGCAGTAACAACACTAACAGAAGAAGGAACAGCAGCAGGACCATCAAAAGTAGTAACCCCAGAGGAAAGAGCAGCAGCAGCAGCAGCAAGAATAGATGGTATATCTATGTATGGTGTAGCAGAATTATGGGGAGTAAATGAAGAAAGAGACAAAATAAAAGATACAATAGAAACAATATTAGAACTGACATTAAATTTTAGTGGTAAAATACTCCAGCGTTTCCCTGCAGATGCAAATGTATTCAGACATTATACTAAACATGTTTCTCCTTATGGTGATGATCTATTAAGTGCATTAAATAATATTTTTAGTTTAAATAGACGCATGCGTCTTGCTGTAGGGAAAGCATGTGATGAGATTGCAGATAAACAAGTTATTGAGCTGCTGCAGCAGGAACCTGTTGAGGATCTGATAGGGGCACTTGCTGCTGCCTATCAAGCAAAAAAGGAACAAGAAGAAAAAGATGAAGGAGAACAAGAAAAAAGAAAAGATGAAGATACGGAAGATACAGGAGGAGAAACAGAAGAAGAAAAAGGGGAAGACGAACAAAAGGAAGAAAACGAAAGAAAAGAACGAGAAAGCGAAAGTGAAGGAAATGAAGAAGAAGGAGAAAGAGGAGGAGGAAAAGAAAAAGAGGAGGAGGAAGAAGACGGGGAAGCAACGGATGATGATCTTCCTCGTCCTCTTATTCATATTCCTCCTCCTTCTTCTTATGATTCATCTTCTTCTTCCTCTTCTTCGTCTTCTTATGACTCTAATTCTCCTCCGGCTGGTGAATCCAATTCTTCTTCTCCTCCGTTTTCTTCTCCTGGTTCTTCTCCTACTCCGTCATCTTCATCTTCTCCTTCATCTTCTCCTCCTTCTTCCCTTTCTTCTTCCTCCTCTTCTTCCTCTGCTGCTTCTTCTTTAATCCTTGAGGTATCAACAGCAAGATGGGAAGCAACACAGACATTGCTGCTAGCAACAAGACTGCAGCTGCAGCAAGCAGAGGAGACATTAAATAATTTATCTTCTGTACTGAGTAATTTAAATATGATTAATTATCGTAAATGGAGTCCTTCTTTTGCAAGAAAAGAACTTGCTGCTCTTGTTTATTCTCTTGCTTTAAGAGAAAATATTCTTTATTTTAAACAAATGGTTAAACAATTAGAGAAAACAACTAGGCAGAAAACACAGGAAGCAGCGGTGCTGCTGCTGCAGCAAGCCTTATGGGTTTCCTTAGAGCGTCATGCTGCGTATACGCAGCTTGATGAATATAATAAAGATAAAAAAGGAGATAATGATGATTATAATGAGGATGGTGAGGGTAATGGTGAATATTATGAGGCAAAAGGAAGAAAAACAAATAAAAAATATAATATACTAGAGGATATAAGTGGTGCACATACTAAAGCATATAAAGAGATGGAGGAACGTCTTGCTTCCTTATCTGCTTCCTTAGCTGATGATGAATCTTATTATGCCCCTCCTGTAGATCCATCAGATCTAGCAGCAGAAGCATTCCCTCTGCTGTATCAGCAGCAGCAGCAAGCTGCACTCAATCTTGCATTTGATACCGGTGATCCAGCTGGTGCTGCTGCTGCTGCTGCAGATGCTGCAGCAGAAAAAATAGCTGAAGCTTCTGCTTCACTCGTCGCAGAGACTATACCCAATGTCCTACAGCTAAAGCGTCACCCTAAGAAAAGCAACGAACAGCAGCAGCAGCAGCAAGAGCAGCGGCAGTAGCTGCAGCAGCAACAACGGAAACCCGAAGATTCATCATACAGCTGATTCATTGCAAGCATGCATGAATCTTGCATGCATGCATGCATTTTAAATGCATGCAGCATACATGCATAGCTGATTCCTTGCTGCATGCATGCAGCATGCATGCATTGTGCATGCATGCATGCATGCATTTTTCATGCAGTGTTGCATGCATGCATGAATTATGCATGCGTGAAACACTGCATGCATGCATATTGCATGCATATTGCATGCACATTGCATGCATTTTTATTTGCTTTCTCTTCCGTCTGTGCAATGTTTACGAGGGGCAAGCCCTTATAAATGCATTTATATGTATAATATGCACAAGTATATTTATGTAGTGTATATGTAGTGTATATGCAGTGTATATATCCTGTCTGCAGATATCAATGCACTTGGGGCCAGTGCTCCTGCTGCATTTGCTGCATTTGCTGCATTTGCTGCATTTGCTGCATTTGCTGCATTTGCTGCATTTATTGCATTTGTTGCATTTGTTGTATTTCCTGCAGTCGTTACAGTTTGTGCTTTTTGTGCTTTTTGTGCTTTTTGTGCTTTTTGTGCTTTTGCTGCATTTGCTGCGTTTGCTGCATTTGCTGCACTTGCTGCTTTTAGCGCATTTGCTGTTTTGCTGCATTTGCTGCTCTTAGCGCATTTGCTGCTTCCGCTGCTTTTTCTGCTTCTGCCGCATTTGCTGCTTCTGCCGCATTTGCTGCTTCTGCTGCATTTGCTGTTTCCGCTGCATGTACTGCATTTGCTGCAGTTGCTGCAGTTGGTGCTTCTGTTGCAGTTGCTGGTGCTGCAGCTCCACGGTGCTGCTCGCCAATGCTGCCCACAGATACAGCCCGTCTACTGCAACAAGGAGGAGACAGGAAGGAGACACAGGCAAAGGGAAAAAGGAGACACAAGGCAAGGCAGAAAGGAGAAAGGAAGCACGGGCTATTTGGTGATATAAGATAAAATACCGGTGGCAACCTGAAGCAGCAGCAGCAGGAGCTGCTGCTGCTGCTGCGGCGCTGCTGCTGCGGGCCACAGCCAAGAAAGACTACTAGGAACCAACAAGCCCGTCCAGCAGCAGAGGGAGAAGCAGCAGAAGAAGCAACAGCAACAGAGCAACAACAGAAGCAGCAACAGAAACAGCAACAGGAACAGCAGCAGAAGCAGCAGCAGAAGCAGAAGTATGCGGGGGAACCTACGCTATAGGTTCCGCTGTGCTAGGCTTCTTCACTGAACGTCTAAACACTAAACCCTAAACCCTAATACATAGACCCTAAACCCTAAACCCTAATTCTAAAGACCCTAAACCCTAAACCCTGGACCGTATGAATATGAGGCAGGGCAGACTCAGGCAGGGGTACAGGGTTGTCTGTGCTGGTTGGCAGCCGTTGCTGCCAATTGGAGGAGGGTTTAGGGTTTAGGGTTTAGGGTTTAGTCAGGGTTTAAGGGTGGGAGAGTTTGAACATTGGAAGTGAGCTGCACGTACACCGGAGCATCCGTTTGCATGTATACAAAATATGTATTTGTATATATTTATATATTTATATATATTTATATTTATATATTTATATATATTTATATATTTATATATATAATGTATAAAAAAAAAGGAGAGGAAAGAATTTTTTTCTTTCTTTCTTCTTTAGACTTGTTTGCCGTTTGCCTCCTTTCTTTGTCCTTACCTCTATTATTTTTATTATTAGTAAATAATAATAGTAATAATAATAATATAATACTAATATATATATATATATATATATATACATATATAATTATTATATAAATACATATAATGTATACATATAATAATTATATATTTAATTGTATTTATATACATATAATATATATACATATAATAATATTTATTTATAATTATTATTATTTATTATTGTTGTTTATTTATATTTATTCTTTCTTTCTTCTTTATTTCTTTATTCACCTCTTTCTGGTGTACAGACAGTCTTTGCGACGAACATCGCCTTCAACGGCTTTTGAATTCTTTGTATTTACTCATGGGGATGCACAGCTAGCTAGCTAGCTAGCTAGCTAGCTAGCTGTGTGGGTACCTAGCCAGCTACGGGCTAGTTAGTTACTGAGGTAGCTAGCTATAGAGGTACAGTACAGACGTAGCTAGCTGTAGCAATAGCTAGCTGAGGAGTTGGCTAGCAAGGGGGGCAGCTAGCTGGGGAGATACCCAGGTAGAGAGGTAGCTAGTTAGACTCTCTGTTTCCTTTAATGAGCAGGTAGCGGCTTTCTTGCTGCTGCATGGAGGACAGAAGCAGCAGCAGCAGCAAGGCAGCAACAAGTTATTATTATTAGGCTGATTAACATAATTGTTAGTCTAATTACTATTAGTAGTATTTATACTATATGCACTATATACATTATATATACTAGATATAATATATATAGTATATATATTATATAGTATATATACACTATATATACTATATATACACTATATGTACTACATATACTATGTATTATATATTATATATGCAGAACGGCAAAACAATAGAAGAAGGTATTTTAATTGTTAATAAAATAATAATAAAACTTTCTCTCCCCTCTGTACCCTGTAGGGTTTGCAAACAAATATCGTGGGGCCCCCAGGGCACGCCGGGCGGGGCCCCCTGTGGGGCCCACCTAGCGGGGGCCCACCTTTCTTGTTTTTTCCTACAATTACCCTTAAACTATTAATTTATTTTACGTTACATGTTTATAAATAAACAATAAAAGGATAAGGAAGACAAAAAGCAGTACTATTCCCCCTCTCCTTTACGCAGCATGGTGGGGGCCCCCCCCTACAGCGCGAGCAACACGGGGGGGCCCCCCAAGGCCCAACAGGGGATAAGATCACCTCCTGCTGCTGCTGCTGCTGCTTCTGCTGATGCTAATATAAAGGGGGATTATAAGAGCGAACAAACAGTGGCTATGCATGAAGTTAACTCGCTGCCTGCAGGGCGTGAGGTGTACGTACAGCTCGGAGGCATTTACTTACTAGCGGACGCAGCAACTGCTAAGAAGAAGCTGCAGCAGCAGCAGCGGGAAATGGAGAAGCAGTAGAGGAACGAGGGGAACGGACGGATACAGCCGCGCATACAACAGCAGCACATGCAGCAGCAGCAGCACGCGCAGCAGCAGCAATACCAGCAGCAGGCCCACCCCACAAGAGCCTTGCTCTAGGGATGCAGCGGCAGCAGCAGCAACTCTTGCAGCATGGCCAGGGGCAAAGCAGCTGCGCCAGCGGCACCGCTGAGTGCAGTGGGGGCCCATTATTGCTAGCTGATCCAACACCTAGCTAGCTAGCTACATAGCTAACTAGCTGCATAGCTAACCAGTTACCTGGCGAGCTATCCAGATACCTAACCAGCTAGATACCTAGCTAGCCAGCGGGGCGACCCGCGAGGCAGCGGTGCAGCAGCAGCAGCTGCACCACTTTTTTACTATACTGCTTTTATATGTGGATTATTTTGGGCACAAGCCGCTAGCTGGTGGCTAGCCACCTAGTATGCCGTTTAGCTAGCCAGCTAGCTAGCCGTTTAGCTAGCCACATCGTAAGGAATCTAGCTAGCTGCCGTGTAAGTCTTCTAGCTAGCCAGATATTTAGCCGTTTAGGTAGCCAGCTAGCTACCCGTATAGGTGACCGAGCTAGCTATATAACTGGCCTGCAAGCTAGCCACCCAGCTGGCTAGCCAGGTAGCTACTCCTGCACTAATTAATGTAGCTAGCTAGCAGGCTGCGCCCAAATTCAGTGGGGTTTTACAAGCCCTATCCAAGTGCCAAAATTACGCCATCGATTGATGGCCGCAGCAGCAGCTGTTGCTGCTGCTGCACTAGCCATGACAGCAGCAGCTGTTGCTACTGCAGTGCCAGCAACGACAGCAGCAGCTCTTGCTGTTGCTGCGCGTTGTGGCGCTATGCGGGACTTAGCTAGCTACCCAGCTGGCTAACTAGCTGTGCCCAAGCCCTAAATCTAAACCCTAAACCCTTGAGCAGCGCATAGGTTAGCCGAGGGGGTCGGAGGTCCTTGCCCTCGTCCATATGCTGCCGCTGCCTGCTGCAGGTGCTGCTGTTCCTGATGCAGGAGCACCAGATGCTGGAGCAGCCGCTGCAGCGCCAAAAGGAGACGTTGAGCCTAACTGTCCCCACGCACCAAAGCCCTGCTGCTGCTGCTGCGGCTCCTGCGCTGCTGCTGCACCGAAGAAGCCTCCTGATGCTGGCTGCTCAGCAAGAGAGGCAAAACCTGTCCCTTGTGTTGCAAATGCAGAAAATCCACCTGAAGCAGCAGCAGCAGCAACAGCAACGGCACCAAGAGACTTAGTGCTGCTATTGAGGAGCAGCAGAAGCAGCAGCAGCAGTAGCAGAAAAAATACATCGAGCAGCAGCGGCAGCACCAGGTGTTTTGGTATTTTTTCTTACCTTGGACCTGCCCCCCCGAGGCTATCCCCGTATTAGGTGCAACATGGCCTTCTAGCTGGAGGTCGCCTAGGCCGCTGCTGTTGTTAGCCTGCAGCAGCAGCAGCAGCAGAAGCAGCAACAGGGACAGACATTCGTGCACAGAACGATGCTGTGATGGTGCAGCAGGAACAGTACCTGCAGATGTTGCTGATGCAGCACCAGCAGCTGCCGAAGCCACAACGGGAGCCAATGAAGCACCAACAGCAGCAACAATAGCCCCAGCAGCAACAACAACAGCAGCAGCAGCAAAAACAGCAGCAGTAGCTCCAACGTACCAGTCCAAAGTTGTATGTTTGCCGCTGCCCTATGGACAGGTCACTGACGCTAACATTGCCGAAGGAAAGTTGCGGCTGCTGCTGTTGTTGCTGCGGTTGCTGCTGCGGTTGCTGCTGTTGCTGCTGAGGGAAGAACGAGATGCCGCCAAATGGAGACGTCTGACTGCCAAAGCCCGAAGTAGCTGTCGTGCCCCCGCTGCTGCTGCTGCTGTTGCTGCTGCTGCCGAAGATACCCCCCCCAATAATGCCTACCAATCCCCCGCCAGGGGCCCCCTGTGGGGCCTCCGCACCAAAGGTACCCCCGGCACCAAAGGGACCAGCAGGAAGAGCAGCCCCTGCAAACCCTGATGTTTGTTTAGGGGGGGAGGAAGCAAGACTGTTGCCAATCCCTTTTATATCTATTGGCCCGGTGCTGCTGTTGCTGCTGCTTCCGAATGTCCCAGTAAAAATACTCGTCGAAGGAGCAGATGAGGCAGGCTTGCTGCTGCTGCTGTCGCTAGTGTTGCCAAAGAGGCTACCACTGCTGCTGCTGCTACTACCACTGCTGCTGCTGAAGAGGCCACCGCCACTGGTGCTGCTGCTGTCGCCGGTGTTGCCAAAGAGGCCACCACCACTGGTGGTGGTGGTGCTGCCAAAGAGACCACCACCACTGCTGCTGCTACTACTACCGAAGAGGCTACCCCCGCCGGCGGTGCTGCTGCTGCTGCTGCTGCCAAACAGATCACCTCCTTGGTTGCTGCTGGTGGTGCTACCGAAGATACCGCCACCGCTGCTGCTGGTGCTGCCAAACAGAGCACCGGTTGCTGGGCTGCTGCTGCTGCCGAAGAAACCACCGCCGGTGCTGTTTGTGCTGCTACCAAATAATCCGCCTGGGCTGCTGCTGCTCGGTTTATCAGCACCACCAAGGAGGGAACCTTTAAAGGGGCTGTTGTCTCCCTGTGGTGCCTCCTGTGAGTCTTTTGTTTTGTCCTGGGCATCTGCTGCAGTCTTCTGTGGTGCCCCCTCTCCTGCTTCAGCAACAGGAGACGCAGCAGCACCAGCAGCATCCGATGCCTTGGTGGGATCGGGGGGAAAAACAGCCTTTGTTGGATCTGGGGGTAGAACAGCTTTGTTGGGATCGGTTTTTTTGGTGGGATCGGGGGGTAGTACTGCCTTGGTGGGGTCCGGTGGTAGAACGGCCTTGGTAGGATCGGGCGGAAGTACTGCCTTGGTGGGGTCCGGGGGTAGAACTGCCTTGGTTGGATCTGGGGGAAGAACAGCTTTTGTGGGGTCTGGGGGTAGTACTGCCTTGGTGGGATCGGTTTTTTTGGTGGGATCAGGGGGTAGTATTGCCTTGGTGGGATCGGGGGGAAGAACAGCTTTTGTTGGGTCTGGGGGCAGCACTGCCTTGGTGGGATCGGTTTTCTTCGTGGGATCGGGGGGAAGAATTGCCTTTGTGGGGTCTGGAGGCAACACAGCTTTTGTGGGGTCTGGGGGTAGTACTGCCTTGGTGGGATCGGTTTTTTTGGTGGGATCGGGGGGTAGTACTGCCTTGGTGGGACCGGGGGGTAGTACTGCATTGGTGGGACCGGGGGGTAGTACTGCCTTGGTGGGACCGGGGGGTAGTACTGCCTTGGTGGGATCGGGGGGGAGAATTGCCTTTGTTGGGTCTGGAGGCAACACAGCTTTTGTGGGGTCTGGGGGTAGTACTGCCTTGGTGGGATCGGTTTTTTTGGTGGGATCGGGGGGTAGTACTGCCTTGGTGGGACCGGGGGGGAGTACTGCCTTGATCGGGTCTGGAGGCAACACAACTTTTGTGGGGTCTGGGGGTAGAACAGCTTTGTTGGGATCGGTTTTTTTGGTGGGATCCGGGGGTAGAACTGCCTTTCTTGGATCCGCAGCTGTGGGGTCCACGTGCTGCCGCTGTTGCTGCTGCTGTTGCTGCTGCAGTTGCTGCTGCTGTTTGCTGCTTATTTGCTGTTTAGCCTCCCATTTCTCTTCCTCCGATAGTCCGCCCGTTAACGCATCGCTATCGCCGTCTAAAACTGCACCCGTTCTACTACTGCTGCTGTTGCTGCTGCTGCTGCTGCGTCTCCTGCTTGCCTTGCTGCTGATGCTGCTGCTGCCACCGCGACGGTACCTTCGGGATCCCCTGTGGCTGCTGCTCGCTTCACTAACATCAAACTCGCTGTAACTGCTGCTGATGCTTCCACTGCTTCTGCTGCTGCTCCTGCTGCTGCTTCTGCTGCTGCCGCTGCTGCTGAACCCCCCAATGCTGCTATCCAGTGTCTCCCAATCGATCCCCAGATCGTCTTTTCCCCCTTTAGCAGCAAGCCAACTGTCTCCTTTATCAGCAATATCGAGGCTGCCATCTACTGCCGCCTCCTGTTGCTGTTGCTGTTGCTGTTGTTGCTGCTGCTGGGGCTGCTGCTTCTGCAGCAGCAACTGCAGCAGCGCGCGGCGACCTGCGGCCTCTCGTGCGCGGGTGGCTGTTTCCTCGTGCAGCAACTGCTGCAGCAGAAGCAGCGTTGAAGCATCTCCATCTCCTTGAGGACTCGGTGCTGCTGATGCAGCAGTGGGAAGCCCAAACTGCAGCGGCATCAGCAACTCCTGCTGCAGCTGCTGCAGCAAATGCGACTGCCCCTCCTTATCAGCTGCCTGTGCAGCAGCAAATGGTTCAAGGGGGAGACAATTAGCTGCCTGCTGTTCGACTGCAGCAACATATTCCTCTAGTTCAACTGCTTTCTGCTGCAGATCCCTGCAGCAAAAAGCAGCAGCAGCAGCAACAACACAGAGTATTTCCGAGCCACACATGCATGCAGCAAACAAACAGCAGCAAAAGACATCACAAGGACTCACTTTGTCTTCTGCAGCAACTCCATGATTGCTCTCTGCTGCTGTTGCTGTTGTTGTTGCTGCTCAAGCTGCCGTTGCTGCTGTTGCTGTTGCTGTTGCTGCTGAAGCTGCTGCTGTCTCTGCTGCTCTTCTCGCTCCACCTCACAGTTCTCAGCAGCAGCCTCCCGCTTGCATGCGGACTCAGCAGCTTCTGAGGCAGATGGGGCGGTTGCTGGTGTTGCTGCGCCTGCGTCGGCGGCGAAGAAGAGAGACTGCCGCATGCGGCTTCCCACTGTATCTACAGCTTTTATTGCTGTTTCTTTTGTTGCTGTTGCATCTGCTGCCGTTGCTGCTCCTGCCGCTGGTGCTGCTGCCTGTATATGAGATGCTTGCTGCTGCTGCTGCTGCTGTTGCTCCACGTCTTCTTCCGTGCTATCTAAGAAGCTGGCAGGTAACATAAAGCGAGCCCCTGGCCTCCAATGCCTCCGGCTGCTGCTGCTGTTGTTGTTGTTGTTGCTGCTGCAGCTATTTGCAGTAGCTTCAGGCGGCTTGTGTGCTGGCTGTTCCTGCTGCTGCTGCAGCACCGGCTGCTCCTGCTGCTGCGCATGCGCTGTTGCTGTGGGGATTGTCCTGCCAATCAACCCAAGTGCCAATGCCTCAGCCCTCCGCAGTAGCAGCAGCACGCGCCGTTGCTGCTGCGTCAGTGCAGCACCAAGGCTGTATGTGCACACACAAGACAGCAGCAAAGGGACAAGAGTAAGTGCAGCAGCACCTTGAGCAGCACCGACATGCGCAGCAGCAACTCCAAGCAGCAACTAACGAAGCAAAACAAGAGCAAGAGCAACAACCACAGCAGCAGCAACAATAGCAGCAGTACCGTTGCAGTGTCTGCGAGGCTTGCTGATCCTGCACGTCTTCTGCAAGAGCCAACTGTTCTTCATACAGCTGCTGCTGCAGCAGCTGCTGCTGCTGCAGGCGCAGTAACAGCTGCTGCAACTGTCGGGTCCGCTCCCGTGCTGCAGCTCGCTGCTGATGCAGTTCTTCCTGTTGGGTAGCAGCAGCAGCAGCACCAGCAGCAAACGGGGGCAGCAGCGCTAAGTCCTCTAGGTGCTGCTGCTCCTGCGTGGTTAGTAGCATAAGGTTATCGTTCCCCTGCTGCTGCTGCTGCAGCAACTGCTGCTGTAGCAACAGCCGGCTTAGAAGACGCCGCACTCTGCTGCTGCTCTGTGCTTGTGTCTCTTCTACGCCACGAAGTTGAGACAGACGCTGCAGCAGCACCTGCTGCTGCTGCTGCAGTGCTTGTACAGACTGCTGCAGCCCCGATACCTGCGACGCTAGAGTGGCGGGCCGCTGCTCTTGCTGCTGCTTCTGTTGGTTGTGCTGCTGCTCTTCAATTTGCTGTTGCTGCTGCTGCAGCTGCTCCTTCAGCGTCTTTCGTGCTGCAGCACAGCAGACCTCCGATGCTGCCAATCGCCACTCAAATGCACGCAGTGCAGCAGCAAGAGGAGCAGCAACAGCAGCAGCAAGTGCTGCGTCAGACCCCAAAAGCTCTTCCCCTGCAGCAACCTGCGCGCACAGCAGCAGCAACAGCAGCAGCAGAATTGAGTCAGTGCCACCGCAGCACAGCACCGAAGCAGGATCTGCTGCATCAGAAAAAGCAACAGGAACAACAAAAGCAGCAGCAGCAGCAGCAGAAACATAAGCACCAGCAGCAGAGAAGAACGGACATACACTAGCTGCAGCAAAGACAGCAGCAACGTACTCTCTTAAGCAGCGCGACTGCCTCTTGGTGTTCAGGAGAAGACTGCACCTGCTGCCTCCATTTGCTTAGTGTGCTGCTGCTGCTGCTGCTGCGCCTAGGGGGTGCTGCATGCAGCTCCTTTGCTGCTGCTGCCAGCGTTGCCTCCTTTGCTGCTTTGCTGTTGCGCTTCCATAGACGACCTACTAAATTAGCCAGCTTGTTGCGGCAGCTGCTATGCTTATCCTTGCTGCTTTTGCTCTTGCTGGTGCCGCTCTCACCATGCTTGCTGCTGCTGCTCCCACCATGCTTGCTGCTGCTGCTCCCATCATGTTTACTGCTGCTGCTCCCATCATGTTTACTGCTGCTGCTCCCACCATGCTTGCTGCTGCTGTGCTTCCGTTGGTCTTTTTCTTTGCTGCTGCTGCTGCTGCTGCTGCTGCCAAGCTTCTTATCGCGGCTCCGCGTGGCTTCTGCCTTCCCTTTGCTGCTGCTGCTGATTGGTGCATCTTGTGTAGCAGCAACTGTCTCTGCTTTCTTCTGCTGCTGCTTCGGAGCAAGCCGTTGGAACCAAGGGGCCATCTGCTGCTGCAGGCAACTGTCCTGCTCCTGTTGCTGCTGCAGCTGCAGCGGAGGCAGCAGCGGAATCTCAAAGGCCTCTGTCTGCCTTACAAGGGTAGAGCAGCGATCTGCCAGGTGTACCGTCACCTCCCCTGCAGCACATAACGCTACGCATGCGCACAGCAGAACTGCAGCAGCAGCAGCAGAATTGCAGCAGCAGCAGCAGAACTGCAGCAGCAGAAGCAAAACTACCGCAGCAGCTGCTGTTGACACATGAAGCAATGCTACAAACACATATATTCACAGAAATAAAAACTGGTCACTAGGAGAGCAACACGAAACCCTAGACCCTAAACCCTAAACCCTAGACCCTTCTTACCGCATGATTCAGCAATAAAGAAGACTGGAGGAGATGTTAATAGAGGAGTATCTATATCACCCTTAACATAAACAAACAAAAGATACAAAAAAAAAGAAATAAAAAAAGAAGAAAAAAAGAAATAAAAGAAAAAGGAGAAAAAGATGAATAAAAAGTGTTTATTACTCATTACTACTGTTGATTATTCTTGATTATTCTTGATAAGTATTTATTATGATTTATTAGGGTTTACAAGAAGGGTTTATGGTTTACAAAGGTTTACAAAGGTTTGCAAGGGTTTAGAAGGGTTTAGAAGGGTTTAGAAGGGTTTAGAAGGGTTTAGAAGGATTTAGAAGGGTTTAGGGTTTAGGGTTTAGGGTTTAGGGTTTAGGGTTAAATTACATGTTGTCTAAGAATAGAATCATGAAAAGAGTTGAAAATAGAAAATCCAAGAGGCATCGATTCTTCATCTGTTGACTCCAAATTATTTCCTTCCATTAATATTATACTTCGCCATAATTCAATACCTAATATATATATATATATATATACATATATATATACATATATATATTATGCATGCATATGCGTACTCTTGTTGCTGCTGTTGTTGCTGCTCCTGCTGATAGTGGTGGCGGTGATGGTGCTGGTGAAGGGAGTGCGGGTGAGTTGTTGATGGGGTGATTAGGGAAGTAAGGGGAGAAGGACAAAGGAAGGCTGAGTGCTGAGGAGCTACTGTTGCTGCTGCTCCTGCTGTAGCAGCAGCAGCTGCTGCTGCAGCAGATTGTGCTGCTTACCTTCTAATTCTTCTTGGCCGCTTGCGTCTCCCCATCCAAGTCTTTTGTTATTGTTGCTGCTGTTGCTGCTGCTGCTGCTGCTGCTGTCTATTTGTTTAACAAATGCATTGCATGCAAAGAGAGACAGTTGTGTGGTGTCTGTACACCTCACGTAAATCGCCCCCCAATCAATAAGAGGATAAAAGCTGCTGCTTGTTGCTGCTCGGACACGAGCCAAGTATATCTGCAGCAGCAGCAGCAGCAGCAACAGTAGCACAAACAGCATGCTGAAGCAGCAGTAACGGCAGCAGCAGCAGCAAGTGTTCACAACAGCAGCACGTGCAGCAGCAGCAGCAGCAGCAGTGTGGCAACACAAAGGGATGCAAGCATGGTACCTACCTCATTTAAGGCACCAGCAATGGGTACCAGCTGCAGCTCCTGCTGCTGCTGCTGCTGCGCAGCCTCGAGTTTGGCGAAGAGCAGCAAAGAAGAGAATGGAGGATTTTCTGCCTCAAGGAAGGCATCCTCCTCAGCAGCAGAAGCAAACTGCTGCTGCTGCTGCTGCTCGTCGTCGTCGCCTTGATCATCCTCAACAGCAAAAAGAGCAGCAAGAAAAGGACCCTCAGCAGCAGCAGCTGCAGCAGCAGCAATTCCTTGATCTACTGTAAAGCCAGGAGATATCCAAGACAGGCCCAAACACCGCCCCTTGCTGCAGCAAACAAAAACAGCAGCAACAGCAGCAGCAGATAAAATGTTTGTTGCTGCAGCACAACAACAGGCCTCAGCAGCAGCAAACAGCAGCAACGGCAGCAGCAGGAGCATCAACACCGCCCGCTGGAGATGGACGATCAGATGCAGCAGCAGCAACAGAAGCAGCAGCAGCAGCAACAGCAGTAGCAGAAACCCCACCCCTTGGCAAGTGCTGCTCCCTCAGGGTTTAGTTCTCCGTCTAAGCCAGCAAGGCTAATAGGAATCAGACTCAACTCCTTGCTGCTGCTGCTGCTGCTGCTGCTGCTGTTTGCATGCGTTGTCAATGCCCAAAGAGCAAGGGGAGAGCGAGAGGAGAGCAGCGCAACAGTCCCCTTTAATGGTCCCTCTTCGTCACCCCCAAAAAACCCCGTAATTGCTGCAGCAGCAGCAGCAGCAAAAACAGCAGCAGCAGCAGCAGACAACCACAACTCCCATATATGAATAACAAAGCTGCAGCAGCAACAGGCAACATCGTGAGGCAGCAGCAGCAACTACAGCAGCAGCAGCAGTACCAAGAACGTCTGCAGCAGCAGCTTACAGGATATTCTTAGAGGAGGGGAGACAGCAAGCTGTAATTCGCCATCAGCAGCAGCAATAAATAAGCCGCTGCTGTATGTATTCAGCAGCAGCCGCCCGTCGCCTGCAGCAACAGCAGTAACAGCAGCAACAGCAGCAGAAACAGCAACAAATGCAGCAAATGCAGCACAAGGAATAGAACGGAGCACCACCACCTACGCCTTAGCTGCATTAAGACACGAACAGCAACAGAAGCAACAGCAGCAGCAACAGCAACAGCAGCAGCAGCAGCAGCAGCAGCAATACCTGTCCATGCAATGGCCGTGATATCCTCAGGAAGCTCCGCGACTTCAATTCTCTTGGAGGACGCAGAGAGACAAGTTTCTGCTGCTGCTGCTGCTGCTGTCTCTGCTGCTGCTGCTGTTGCTGTTGCTGCTGCTTCTGCACAGTTGCCTACAGGCAGCACAACTGCCCTACGTCCAGCAGCAACAGCGAGGAAGCTGCTGCAGCGGCTCAGCAGCAAAGAAGAGACGACACCACCAAGCTGCAGCACAGCAGAAGCAGCAGCAGCATGAAGCACAATGGACAGCAGCAACAGCAGCAGTAAAAGCAGAAGCAGCAGCAGCAGCTGCAGAGGATGAGCAGCAGCAACAGCACTAGCAACAGAAGCAGCAACAAGAACAACAGCACTAGAAGCTGCAGCAGCAGCAGCAACAGCAGCAGCAGCAGCAGAACTCACCTCTATAGGAGGCTGACGAAGAGAAAGTTCTCCTCTTGCTGCAGTAACAGCACAGTAGGGGAGGAGACGATCCCCCCACCCCACAACTAGCAGGTTGCAGCAGTGCAGCACACACAGGATGTTGCTGCTGTTGCTGTTGCTGCTGCTGCTGCTGCTGCCGCTGCTTCCGCTGCTGCTGTCTATTGGAAGTCTGAAGGCTGCGTCGCAAGACAAACAACAGATAAGGAGACGCCGTTGCTGCCAACAACGGCAGCAGCAGCAGCAGCAGAAACTGCAGTAGCTGCTGCAGCAACAGCAGCAGCAACAACAGCAGCAGCAACAGCAACGACACCAGCAGCAACACACCATGCTGAAACTTGAGGGAGCGGCAGTCCTCATAACATTCCATAAGGTATGGGGCCTCCATCTTGACTGCTGCTGCTGCTGCTGCGGCGGCGGCAGCAGCTGCTGCAGTTGCTGCAGTTACTGCTGAGAGTGCTGCTGTTTTTACACAGCGAACTGAACGCCCTGGCCCCAACACAAGACACAGGGGAAACCCTTTTGCTGCTGCTGCTGCTGCTCCCGCAGCAGCAGCAGCGGTAGCGGCAGCAACGGAACCAGCAGCAGCGGCAGCCTGTCTTCTTTCCTTCTGCTTCTGCTGCTGCTGTTGCTGCTTCTGGTGAGTGCGTTGTTTGCTACGGCCTAAACAGAAAGGAAATGAAGGGCCTCCTGCGGACAGGGGGCCCCACGGAGGGCTGCTGCTGCTATCGAAGCTGCAGCAGCAGCAGCTGCAGCAGCAGTACTAATACCTTTAATTGCACAGACAAATATATATAAACACTTGCTGCATGCACTGGTGCAGCTGATAGTGATGCTGCTGCAGGCTCAGCAGCAGACTAGAAATCCGGAGGAGGCCCCGAGTCGTTTGCTGCTGCTGCTGCTGCTGCTGTTGTTGTTGCTGCTGTTGTTGCTGGTAGGAGGTTAGCTGCTGCCGTTACTGCTGCTACTATGAAAAGCTTTATAAGGAATTAGTAATTAAATTTGTTAATAATTATTTAAATCATAAGGGGAAATAGATAGCTAGAGGGTATAGCTGCTGCTGCTGTTGTTGTTGTTGCTGCTGCTGTTGCTGCTGCTGCCGCTGGCATGTGACGAGTCAACGACGAAGGCTGCTGAGCAGCAACAGCAGCAACAGCAGCAACAACAGCAGCAGCAAACAGCGAAACTGAACTTCCTTCCTTTATATGTGAGATCTTTATTCTTTAGAAGCAGCAACAGCAGCAACACCGTAGGCAGCGCGTAGTCATCTTATTCGGCTTGCTGCTGCTGCTGCTGTTGTTGCTGCTGCTCGTGCTGCTGCTGGAGCTGCTGCACCGTTAGAAGCAGCAATTTGAGGCAACAGCAGCAGCAGCAGCAACACAAACAACTCATCCTTTCCCTTAACTGCTCGGCTAGGGGACCACACGTCGGCTTCCAACCGCCAGCAGCAGCAGCAGCAGCAGCACACCTGCTGCAGCAGTGACTTCCTCCAAGATATATTTGCTTCCCTTGGTTTTACTTCCTCTTAAGGCTGTCAACAGAATACTGGACAGCCACGGAGATTTGCTGGCAGGTGCAGCAGCAGCAGCAGCAACAGCAGCACCGCAATAACAGCAGCAGCAGAGCAGTTCCTGTTAGAGGAACAGACCTGCTGCTGGATGTACACCCAGAGCTATCTACAGAAGGTGTTGCAACAGAACAAGCAGCAGCAGCAGCAACTGCTGCCATACAACAGGCGGCCCGCCCGGTATCAACGCCTGAAGCAGCAGCAGCGGCAGCAACAGCAGCAAGAGCAGCAGCAGCAGCAGCCTGTGCCACCATGCAGCAGCAAGACGTTTATATGGTTTTGCCGCCTCTTGATTCCTCCCCAACCAGGTTTTTGAAGGTACTGTTGCTGCTGCTGTTGCTGCTGCTGTTGCTGCTGCTGTTGCTGCTGCTGTTGCTGCTGCTGTTGCTGCTGCTGTTGCTGCTGCCGTTGTGCTGTTGCTGTCTGTGCTGTTCCTGTTGCTGTTGCTGCTGCTGCTGCCCTCGTCTCTTTGTTTCTTGGAGTGCAGTGTCTCTTTATGCATGACTTGCTGCTGCTGCACATCGTGCTGTTGCTGCTACGGGTGGCTATGGATCTCTGAGCTGCGGTTTGTGCAGCTGCTGTTGCTGCTGCTGCTGCTGCTGCTGCTGCTGTTTTTCAGGTATTAAATGGGCCTGATGACCAACAGGACTACAGCAGTTTTTTGAAGGCTCCTTTGTAAGTTTGCAGCAGCAGCAGCAGCAACAGCAGCAGCAGGATGTAGAAGCAGCAGGGTGTACTGCTGCATCTTCCCCATTGGGTTTGCTGCTGCGCTGCTTCTGTGGTTTCTGCTGCTGCTGCTGTTGCAGGTATGGAGCTTCTGCTGCTGCTGCATCAGAAGAGCGACAGCAGCGAGTTGCTGCCAAGGTTAAGCCTATCTTTACAAAGCCTGCTGCTGCTGTGTTGCAGCAAGTGCAGCAGCCTGCGCAGCAGCAGGGGCAGCAAAGGAATATGTGGTGGGCCCCTACTGCCCAGCACAAGCAGCAGCAGCAGCAGCAGCAGCAGCAGCAACTGCTACAGGGACGCATTAATTATGAGCCTGCTGATGGAGGCACGTACTATTACATCCCTAGCTCCGGCCGCCCAGTCGGTGCTCACCCGGATGCAGCTGTGCGGCAGCAGCAGCAGCAGCAGCAGCAGCACTGGCGGCAGCAGCAGCAGCAGCAAGGCCCCATGCACGTTCGCGTACATAAGCAGGGAAACTGCCTAATGTGGCTGCCGGCCCAAGACAAATATTTCTCCCCTTTAGAGTCTGTACGGCAGCAGCAGCAGCAGCAACTGCCGCAGCAGCACCACGAGCAGCAGCAGACAAAGAATCTGCACAAGCACTGGAATGCCCAGCAGCGCCAGCGGCTGCAGCAGCAGCAACAACAGCAGCAATGGCAGCAGCAACAGAAGGAGCAGATGCTGCAACAACTGCAGCAAAAGGAACTTAGAAGCCTCCACATATACTCGGACGGTCTGCATGCAGCAGCGCAGCAGCAGCAGCAGCAGCAGCTTCAGCATAATTATAGGGAAAATCCACGTGGCTCTAGTCCTGCGGCAGCTGCAGCGCGAGCTGCTGTTGCTGCAGCAGCAGCAGCCGCCGCAGCAGCAGCTGCTGCTGCTTCTGCTGCAGATGTTGACAGCGACAGCTGCTCTAGCCAGCGCTCCGCAGACACGGGGCCGTGCTGCGGCATTGCTGCTGCATTGCCTACCTTCCTGCAGCAGAAGCTGCTTATGCTGCAGCAGCAGCAGAGGAAGCAGCAGCACCAAGTAAGGCAGCACCAGAAGCGGCGATACAGGCAGAAGCAGAAGCAGCAGCAGCAGCAGCAGGAGCAGGAGCAGGAGGAGGACCTGGTGCTGCATGTAGCAGAGTGGCCTCTAAAGGATGCAAAAGAAAGGGATGCCCCAACTGTTGATTTGCTGCTGCAGAAGGTGCAGCAGCAGGAGCTGCTGCTGCAGCAGCAAGAGGTGATGCTGCAGCAGCACCAAATAAAACAGGAAATTCTTGAGAGACAGATACAAGCGCTGCAGCAGCGGGAACGGCTAGAGGCGCATCACGTAGAGCAGCTGCAGCAGCTACAGCAGCAGGAGCAGGAGCAGGAGCAGCAGCAGCAGCAAGAGCCGGCAGATGAATCATTGGTGGGCAGTTCCTCTCCCAAGAGCGCGGAACAGGAGCAGCAGCAGCAACAGCAAAAGAAGTACGAGCAGCAGCAGCAGCAGCAGAAGCAAGGGATGCCGCTGCAGCAGAAGCAGCAGCAACAGGATAGCACAACGGGCTGCGAGACCAGTAAGAGAATACTAACACTGCAGAAGCAGCAGCAGCAGCAGCAGCAGCAGCAGCAGCAGCAGCAGCAGCAGCAACAGATGCTGCTGCTGCACCAAATACAAAGAATGGGCTCTTAGTTCTATAAGGTAGCAATCAATCATGTGCATGCTTCTGCTTCTGCTGCTGCTGTTGCTGCTGCTGTTGCTGCTGCTGTTTGCTTGTAGGCGATGTGTCGCAGAGTATCTCAACAGGCCATCTTCAGGTAAGAGATTTTGCTGCTGCTGCTGCTGCTGCTGCTGCTGCTGATGCTGCTGCTGCAGGATGGTGCTGGCGTAGCATTGAAGACTGCTGCATCTACTGCTGCTGCTGTTGCTGCTGTAGCTGCAGTTGCTGCTCGTGCTGCAGGTGCAGCAGCAGCATGTTGTGTGCTGCATGTGTATATGTGTATGTTTTGCGGCTGCTGCTGGTGCGCTGCTGCTGCAGTCTGTAGCTCCTCGATTCTGCTGCTGCTTTTGTTTTTGCTGCTGCTGCTGCTGCTGCTCTCAGAGTTTAGCAGCAAGCTCCCCTGTTGAGGTTTATTGGTTAGATAATGATGACCTCAGCATACACCCCAAGGGGGCTGGAGACTCTGGGGTGTATAGGCAGCTAACATGCGATATATATGATCTATCTGAGGACACAGGAGTGCTGCCCCTGCAGGCTGCTGCTGTTCCTGCTGCTGATGATCAATGGCTGCTGCTGACTGGCTGCGGGGGCCCCACACAAAATGCCCACAAGCAGCAGCTGCTGCAGCAAAAAATGCAGCAGCAGCAGCTGCAGCAGCAGCAGCAGCAGCAAGAAGAAGAAGGAAACAGCCAACCATCTGTAGAAGAGACAGATACAGAGATTGACACAGCAACAAATGGCCAGCAGCAGCAGCAGCAGGAACGGAAACAGCAGCAGGAACAGCAACGGAAGCAGGAACTGCAGCAGCAGCAGCAGCAGAAGCAGCAGCAGAAACAGCAAGAAGCAAATGGCCGCGAGAAAGGGGCGACACCAGGAAGACGCTTCACTTCTTGGCGCAGCGCAGGTACACACGAACTGCTGCTGTTGCTGTTGCTGTTGCTGCTGCATCTGTTTCTGTTGCTGTTGCTGTTGCTGCTGTTGCTGCTGTTCTGCATATCTCCATGTTACTAACGCTCTTGCTGTTGCTGCTGTTGCTGTTGCTGCTGCAGATAGCATCGGGTGGTCTCGGAGAGATATGAATTCTGAGGTACGACGCGCTGCTGTTGCTGCTGCTGCGGCGGCGGCTTTTGCTGCTGCTGCTACTGCTGTCTTTGCTGCTGCCTTTGCTGCTGCTGCTGCGGCATTTGCTTCTGCCGCTGCATGCATCGGCAGCAGCGTTTCTGCGCAGCTGATGTGTCTTTGTGAGGTATGGGGTGTGCACTGGAGGGGGTTTACACTGTTTGCTGCTGCTGTTGCTGCTGTTGCTGCTGCTGTTGCTGCAGGCAACGCCTGCGGTGTATGCACGCTTCGGGCAGGTAGGGCGGAGGTACCTTAAGAGCATCGACCGAGTTGCTCGTTCTATAGAGCAGCAGCAGCAGCAACAACAGCAGCAGCAGCAGGAACTGGAGCAACTGAGCGACGTGCGCGAGAGGAAGAGAATAGCTGCAGAAGCAGCAGCAGCAGAAGCAGCAGAAGCAGCAGCAGCACAATCAGCAGGTGCCGCAGCGGAAGAGGCAACAGCAACAAAGGCAGCAACTGCTGCATCAGGAGTGGCAGAAACAGCAGCAGCCGTCGCTGCAGCAGCAGCAGCAGCAGCAAGGACAGAGGCGGCCGAAAGCTCTCGCAGTGTTTGATAACATCTGGTTACCCTTCGTTGAAGCAGCAGCAGCAGCAGCAGCAGAAGCAGCAGCAGCCGCTGCAGATGCAGCAGCAGCAGCTGCAAATTGATCTGTCTCAACTGTTTCAAGTGTTTTAGCGGCAGCAGCAAATTACAGCAGTAGCAGCAGCAGCAGCAGCAGCAGCAGCAGCGCATGCAGGACGAGACAGATGTTTTTTGTTTTAATCGGACTTGATTACGCTGCTGCTGCTGCTGCTGCTGCTGCAGTTGCTGCTGCTGCAGTTGCTGCTATTGATGCAAACGCATGCCTAGCTCCAGAGAGTGCTGCAGCAGCACGATGCTAGGCCTACCAGGTGCTGCAGCTGCAGCAGGTACAGCAACAGAAGCAGCAGCAGCAGCAGCAAGGACAGGAACAGCAGGTGCTGCTGCTGCTGCTGCCGCATAGCAGCAGGATTTGCCGCTGCAGAATTTGCTTCGTTTAAATTACAGTGTAAAGGTATCCACACAGATGCAGCAACCTGAGTACAGCAGCAGCAACAGCAGCAGCTGCTGCTGTTGCTGCTGCTGCTGTTTCTTCTTGGGGTGGACACATATGCAGCTTAGAGGCAGTAGGAGTGGGGAGGCAGAAAGATACGGAGACAAAGGGAGACAGGAGCAGCAGCAGCTGCTGCTCCTGTCTCCGCAGTAGAGGCTAGCTACAGACAGACACATAGTGAAGACTGCTATAAGCAGCTAGTAGCAGCAGCAGCAGCAGCACAGCAGCAGCAGCAGTAGCAGCAGCAAATGTTTCACAATATTGTAACACAGAACGGACCACGCTTGTGCTGCTCCTGCTGCAGCAGCAGCAGCCGCTGCAGTGGCAGCTGCAGCAGCTGCTGTATCTACTAGCCTCAAAGTAGCCTTAGCGGCCTCATGGAGGAGGCAAGCTGTTGTTGCTGCCTCTGTTGCTGCTGCCGCTGTTGCTGCTGCCGCTGTTGCTGCTGTTGTTGTTGCAGCTGCGGTGATCTCTTGCTTTTCGCACTGTCTGTACACCGTGCTGCAATAACTGCTGCTGCTACGAGCCGATGCAGCAGCAGCAGCAGCGGCGACAGCAGCTCCTGAAGCTGCAGAACACCTCGGCAGCTCAGGTGATTGCTGCAGCGGCTGCTTCCGAAGCAGCAGCAACAGCTGCAGCAGAGGCAGTAGCAGTAGCAGCAGCAGCAGCAGCAGGTCATACAGCTCAACAGCAAATCTGCTGCTGTATAAGCAGCAGGACTGTTCTTATCTCTGTTTAATTGTTAACATATTTTTTTTGTCTTACAAATATTAAAAAATATATCTTGTCGCTGCAGCAGTTGCTGTTGTTGCTGCTGCTGCAGCGCTTGAGTCGGCGGCGCAGGCAGCAGCAGCAGCAGCAGCACCGGCGGGGCCCCTCTGCTCTCCGCCGTCCTACAGCAAGAGGCCCCCCGGGGCTTTGCCGCAACAGCAGCAGCAGCAATAGCAGCAGCAGCAACAAAAAAAGAATAATAATGAAGGAGAAGCTCTATATTTAGTAGCTCTCCTCTTGGGGGTGACCGACTGTGGGGCCCCGCAGCAGCAGCAGCAGCAGCGACAGCAGCAATAGCAGCATCGATCCTCGCCGATCCTCATAGAGGCGACATAAGCCAGGCTTCTGCTGCTGCACATTATTTTCTTGATTTGCTGCTTGCAGCTTTTAGCGGACACGACGGCAGGAGCTATAGCAGCAGCACTGCAACAGCAACAGCAGCAGCAGCAGCAGCGCCGCGATGTCCGTACATCGCAGGGGCGGTGCTGCAAGGGCAGATCATAAACCCTCAAGGGGAGGCTCGGGGCCCCCCAGCAACCTCAAGAGGCATGCTGCTGCTGCTGCCAACAGCAGCAGCAGCAACAACAATAGCAGCAACAAGCGAGGCGGCTTCTCGTTTAGGGGACGAGGTCGAGGTGGGGGCCCCCCGCGTGGCCGTGGGGGCCCCCCACGGCCTCGCGGAGGGTTTGGTGGGAGGAAAGGTAGCAACAGCGGCGGCGACAGCAGCAGCAGCTCAGCTGATGGTAAGAAACCGCAGCAGCAGCAGCAGCAACAGCAGCATCAGCACAATGACAGGCCTCAGCAGAAACCATATCAGAAGCAGCAGCAGCAGCAGCAGCAGCAGCGGGACAAGCCGCATGCACAGCATGACAATGACGACGATACAATAAAAAAAGAGCAGCAGCAGCTGCAGCAGCAGGTGAAGGCTGCACTGCAGCAGCAGCGCAGCAAAGATGCTTCTGCTAGGCGTTATGATGGGTGGCAGCAGCGGCAGCAACAGAAGCAGCAGCGGCAACAGCAGCAGCAGCAGAAGCGGCATGGCAGCACTTCTAACGACGGCGGCAATATTGCGGGGAGTCCCTTTGTTGCTGCTTCCTCTTCTGCTGCTGCAGTTGCAGCAGCAGCAGCAGCAGATAAGCTGCTGCAGCAAGAAGATGTGCTGCAGTGGTTAGACACCTGGGGAGGAAACCCTTGGCATGCAGCAGCAAAGAATGTTGAGAGCGCCCTAATGGAGCTCCGTGTCCCCTCCAGCAGCAGCAACAGCAGCAGCAGCAACAGCAGCAGCAGCAGCAGCAGCAGCAGCATAGATTGGGGGCTGTGGGCTGCTGTAGGGGATAAGGCGCTGCAGCACCTAACAGCTCGGCTGTATGCGCTGTTGGAGACAGACGCAGAGCAGCGATGGATATTAAAGAATGCAGGTTTGCTGCAGCAGCACGACAAGCAGCAGCAGCAGCAGCAGCAGCAGTATAAGAAGCCGTGGAATAAGGGTGCAGCAGCAACAGCAGCAGGAGAGCAGCAAAAGGGCCCCACACGTACTGATGAGGTATCATCATTAGTATTATTAACGCAGCA